GAGTTTTCTTGATGTAGTATACAGTGTGGTACGTACTACGTAGTGAGTGATAGTGTTTTTTAGGGCATATTATGTATTTATATTAAAAATTAATGGTAAAGTAATGATAACCAAGCATTTTTAGAAAAAAATAATCATAATTATTTCTCAATATCTTTTAATTTATTGCGATGAATAGCCTCAAATTTTATGGGGAGGCTAAGCCTCCCTTGCCTCCTCTGACGAGCCGCAGCTGGAAATGTCAACACTTTCTCGTACTGACTTGTCTTTCAAGGACAGTGGCGCAATGTATTCGTGGCACCACTGCCGTTAGTCAAAACAGCGCTGTCCGAAGTTTGATACCGAACGCTTTGTTTTTAGGCCCTGGTTTCATCTGGATAAAACGATCAAATGACTGTGTTACCGGTGTCTCTTCAAGTTACCCCCCAAACTGAATTCGCGGACGTTAGTTTCAAGTTAGTGGAGCAGGGCCGGTGCTCTGATCAATGCATAAAAAATAGCTCTCGGTGAGCCCAGTAAGCGTGGTCTCCACAAGAACAGCATTCGCACCTATCTCTCTCCCTCTTTATCTCCTACACCCGCAAACCCGCCGCAACATTCTCTCGCAACTTTTGGCTGCCACAGCTACTCTGCCACAGCACCAAATCAGCCGCACCTGCTGTGCATAGAAAATCCATTAGTATCTTTGAATTCTCATCGGTTTTCAATGTGTGTTTACAAGTACCTCTAGTAAGAAAAGTCGATGTCTTCTCTCCTTATGGAGTCTTTTGTCGTTTCCTTAGATAGGAAAGCGCCATCTGTAGGATCGTTATCAAAGATAAACGAAGCTTCCAAAGGAGGAATGTTGCAGAACTAAGCTTAGACATCGACGAACAAGATTCTTCCACTGCAAGGCAAATCTGGGCTCTGGTTACGATCATTTGCCTTGCATTGAAAGCGAATCTTGTTCGGCCGTCGATGTCAATGGCTTTGGGAGCTTCGTTCATCATTGATATTCATGCGTCGTTTCCATAGACAGCATCTTCATAAGGAAGACCTCATCTCCTGTTCTTACTTAGGCTTATCCTTAAGGACAGTCGAGTCTAACAATTCATTCGTGGTTCAGTATGGTGTTCGATCACGAATGCTTTGTTTTTGTGCTTTGGTTTCGTCTAGTGGCTTTTGTGTATGGTTGCTCTTGAAAGAGTATGAAAGAAATAATCGATTGAAGAATAATTTTTTTTAAATTTTTGTATAACACATTCTTCCCTACACTTTTATTCAATAAACGCTAGCGCTATAACTCTGTTTAACATGTATGCACAGTATCCGATAAACTTGTTCAGAACTAACTGATGGATGTAGCCATTACTACGTGGTAGATCATCAAAAAATGAGAAATGAAACTTTCTGTTTTTTTACCACTTTTATTGGTTTATCGAGTTAACTGTATTTGTTTGAAAATGTCCTTGTAGAACAAAACTGCAGTAATGTTAGTTAACGGGTGATGTTTAGGAGGTATAGGATTTGATTCTCAAAACAACACAAAAATTTTGAAGATGATTTCATGCAAATGATATCCGCGGCTCCGCTTTAGACTGCCCATGCGCAAGGTCCAATTTTGGAACACTCTCTCTAACATATCGACCGGTATTTCACGTATAAATGTTTCAATATTGTCTTCCAGAGCGTTAGTCATTGCTAGTTTATCCCTGTAGACATGAGCCTAAACATGACCCTACAAGAAATAATCCAAAGGCGTTAAATCACACGATCTAGGCGGCCAACTGTCGGGCCCCAAACGTGAGATAAACTGTTCACCGAAGGCGACTCTTAATTGGACCATTGTTTCGCGTGCCGTGTGGCACCGTCTTGTTGGAACCACATGTCCAATTCTTCCATTTTGGGCAACAAAAAGTCATCACTCATCACACGGTAGCGCTCGCCATTCACCGTAACGTTCCGGCCATTGTCGTCTTTGAAGTACGGCCCAATGATGCTACCGACCCATAATCCACACCAAACAGTGACTTTTTCGGGAAGCATCGGTAGCTCTTGCAATGCTTGTGGCTGGTCTTCACTCCTGATGCGGCATTTTGCTTGTTAACGTATCCATTTAATCAGAAATGAGCCTCGTCGCTGAACACAAGTTTTCTATTAAAATGTGAATCTTCCTCCAACTTTGCCAACACCCATTCACCAAATGTTAGACGTTGTGGGAGGTCGTGTGGCTTCAATTCTTGCACCAGCTGTATCTTTCAAGGTTTTACACCCGAATCCTTTCGCAAAATTTTCCACGTAGTGGAGTAACAGAGGACCGATTGTTGCGAACGGCGGCGAATCGACATTACACGGTCATCACGAACACTGGCGGATACAGCCACAATATTTTCTTCGATCCTCACTTTACGTATGCGTGTAGGTGGTTTAATGTCCAATAATGTAAAATGGGTTCGAAACTTAGTCACAAGCTTCCGAATAGCTCAGTAGGCCGACGAAACTGCCCATAAATTGGGAAAAGTTTGAAATGACACAAGACACGATTCACGCGTCATCTGTCAAAAACAGTGTTGCCAAAGAGATACCAGCAAAAAATCACTCATTACAAATAAAATTGGTTAAAAAGCATAGAAAGTTTCATTTCTAATGATTGTTTAGAACTCTTTCGGGGGTTAAATTATGTACTTGATACTGAGGAGATCATACGATTTAGGCATAATCAATATAGATAAGACTAAGGACGAATATAGGAAAACTCAAAAAAGTTGCTCAGTACAATCCCTTCTGTTGTGAAAATCACAAGAGAAACGTTGGTAAAACGTTCAATAAATTTCAAAATCCTCTACTGTTGTAACACATTTTAATTTTCAGGAGCCTTTAAAAAAGCTCATGCAACAACATTCATTGCTATTTAGATATAGTTCATTTTTCCTATACGAATTGTTTAATCTGTTTGTAATACACAAATTTTTTATCGTTCGTAGACTCTTTAATACTGAACAATTTCAAGTTATCAACAAACAGAAGACAATCACTATAAATGAAACATTTGACAATATATTTGATACAGTGAGAGCCTTGCGGAGCTCTCTATTTCTTATTACTTGAATGAATCAATTTGTACATGTTGTTGAGTTTTGTGACTTGACCCCGGGGTCTCAAACTACCTACTCCTCAGGTCTCATGACTGGTCTACACATGGGTCTCAATCTGCCTTCCCCCAAGCAACGACTGAGGGTTCACGGGCTCTGGTTTTCATGTCCCTAGACGAGTGGAGAGGCAGACCGAAAGTTGGGGCGAGGGTTGGTTTAGTAGTAGGAACGGGGGTTGTGACTTGCAGAAGAGAGGTGTGCAATGTTGTGAGATGTATGGCATGATATTAAAGATCTATCTCCATGAATAAGGTTATCTTTGTGAATCATCTCGTTTGTTGTGGCCGTTTTTCAATTTTAATAGATTGGCGGATCATCCTGGCCTGGAGAGTTTTTTTTCAGTGCAATGGTTATAGTGATTTATAGATCCGATTTACGAACAGCAAGCTCATGTTCATAAGCTCTGTTGGAAACTCTTCTGTAGGTCTGGCCAATGTAAGTTCTGGAGCAGGTGGAACATGGTATTTCTTATATGCCCTGTGCCTCGTTAGGTATAGTGTCCTTAGGTGTTCGCAGAAAAGTGTAAATTTGATTGTTGGCTGTCAATACTGTTCTTATGTCGTGCCTCTCTTGAATTAGACTTACTTCGTCCATAACTCCATGAATATAAGAAATAAAAACATTTGCGTGGTGTGTCTGTTCTTTGGGCTTTTTTGTATGAGGGGTATCGGTTTGCTGAAGTTGGATCTTTGGGTTTGGGATAGTCGCTTTTGGCGACGGACTTTTGAGTCCGTCGAGTTCTTTAGAACCATTGTAACTATCATCGAGTCTGACAGACCTATGTCTGGAGAGAATTCAAAACTGAATTCAACTGGGCAAGATGAGGGTGACGTAGTGGTTGGTATAGGATGGTTTTTGGTAGACAGTGTCTGAGAATAAATAGTTGAATTTTGTGATGAGAACGTCAAGAAATAGAAGTGAGTTGTTATTATCGATTTCCATTGTCAGCTTCAGTTAGGACTGTAAGTCCTATGACTTTATGAATGTATGATCACTTTCAAATTCATGAGGCCATATAATGAAGATGTCATCTACACTTGGTTTCAGTCTTCTATGTAAAGGTTTGCAAGAACTGGAGAGAATGGGGTGCCTTTCACTGGTTTGTAAAATTTGCTGTGGGAAAGGAAATAGGTGCTGAACATGTATTGGTTGACGAAGTTGAGACCAGTGACGAGACCCACGCATAGATTTAAATAATATTTATTGTCTCATGAATTTTTTTTTTATTAAAAGTTTCAATCAAAATTTTAGTTTGGTGTCAATCTTTGCTTTGATCGAGATTAGAAACATCCAAAAAGAAGTGACCAATAATCCCCATTTTCAGTCAAATTTCAATTTCTCCAAATATGAAAGTAAATTATTTGAAAAAGTTTTTTGAATACAATCTCATAAGATGATTTTCATTTACTTTTTTCGTAAATTGCATCACTAATGCAAAATAAGACTCAGCGCAATTTATATAAAACTCCTCTGTTTTGACAATGCCTTTTGCGAGGCCCGTTTTCTTTGAAGAAGTGACATTATCAAATATGGGTTTTGCACAAAATCGAAATAAGGCCATTGAAATTTGGTCACAGCTTATTCAAAGTTTATTTGTTTTCGACCCTGTATAATGAATATGGCAAAATTGATTGAGTATAGATTGTTTTTTCTTTATGAAGGAATCACTTTTTATACCTTATAACAAGGGAGTGAAAATTAGAATACTTTTAATGCAAAAATCAAATGAAATTTCTAGCAGGAGTGATTTTTCGTGATCGTGAAAAATAAAAGGCGAATACTTGGTAAATACTGACACTCTGAATATTTTTCAATATTAGATAAATACTCTACCTTCAAAGCAAAGCACTTCAACAAAAAATAAATAAAAACGATTTAAAAGACACATTTATCAGAAAAAAATTACATCAGATAAACATTTATCCAGCTACAAATCCTCTAAGAACTATTTTATGATCCCCAAAAATTAAACATGTCTTAACCTAATGATTCTACGCAAAAATCTTCAACAAATAAACACATTCAATTAATTCAATAAAAACATGTGCAATTGTCAAAGTTGAAAAAACTTGGCATCTGAATAAAAACTAACCTATTGAGTTGATAATCCATGGTGAACTGATTAGATCCGTAAAAGGTAAATTACGAAAAGACAATTTGTCCTAATCTTATTCGTAAAACATTTAAACACGGAAATAAATGAAGCAAAGGGTTTGTTTCGTTAGGTCAATTTTCTGATAAATACCTTTAGAGAACAGAACAGGAGCCTATTTAACTGCACTGCCTCAGGAATCATCACCTGAAAAAATGTAATACAAAAAAACTATTATTATCAACTCTTATGAAAGCAAGCTCATGCTGAATTTTTAGGGAGGTTATATGGAGGAATCATTTGACCGTTTTGTACCGTTTTCATAAATTTAGACACTAATCACGACTGGGATATTTCTGGAAGTGATAAATTCTTGAACGACAATCTTAAAATTAGTTTTATACAAAAAAAAAAGTCAGTTCATCAACAATACCAAAATAAATAACCTTGATCCTTGTGGTAAGGGGTTGATCTTACGTTTACTGTCCCACGAATCCCCCACAATTTTATATGGCATGACAAAATAAATGGCCCTTTTTGATATATAAAAAGTCAATTTCACAAAAGCCGCACAGGAATTCAGCTCCTGTGCATATATAAGTCACTTTTTTTGGTATGACATTCGATACAGTAACTTTTGACCCACCAAAAGTTCAGCAAGTCTACTTTCTTTCGATATTAAATCAAGGTTTTTATTTATCCTCACCCCATTCAATTATAAATGCTGTAAGTTGTTCTACCCACCTAAGACCTAGACCTCGAACGAGACTTGCTCATAGACTTCGAACGCCCTTTTCCGTCCTTGGAAGCTGGAGACCTGGATCGACCCCTGGAACTTTTGCTGTCTGATCGAGAGCGACTTCTGCTAGGTGACTTTCGGTTGCGAGACCTTGACCTACTTCTCCTGCCACCCCTAGATCGGAATTGATATATAACCAACCAAGACTAAAGCTTCATGCAAATACTACCTTCTCCTTCCACGATATCTTCGTTGAGGCGATGAAGGCCTTCCGTAGCGAGCCATCTGGACTCTGAGTTCCCTTCCATCTAACATACGTCCGTCCATGGCGTCTAGCGCATCTTCAGCATCCCTCTTGTCATAGAACCTACAAACATTGAATGAGTTAAACCAGAATCGCTAGCATTAAAACGAAATTGGTGTAAGGAAACTATTGGAATGACTTTTTCGAAGCATGTTTGAGATCAAGTTTTACCCGTTATTTTCACTGAATATGAACATTTGACGAAATACCATGTTGGCGACTTACCTAACAAATGCGAATCCTCTGCTTTCCCTCGTAAAACGATCTCTCGGAATATAAATATCTCCGACTTCACCACATCGTTCAAATGCTCTTCTTAGATCTTCAACCGACGTTCGGTAGGTTAGGTTATCTACCTTTAAGGAAATCATTCCTTCGATGCGAGGTGGTGCTCTACCACCGTAACTCATTTTTAATCGAAATTATTGCCAGTATTTGTAAATTACAAACAAAACCACGCAGAGGCAATACACAAGCTAGGCGCGAACTCGAAAGAGGGAGCGCGTTCCTCGATTTTCGATGACGAAATTACAAAATGGACGATTGTCAAGATGTCAAATTCATCATTTACCACCGTTCGAAATTTAACTCGTGTACCCCGGACGACAATTGCTCTTCAAACGATTGACAGTTGACATTAAATAACTTTATTTTATATTTTAAAAGACTTTCATAAATGAAGACACTCTATATATGTAAAAGTCTGAAGTGATATATGCAAATTTTTACAAAAACTTTGATGGAAATTTACCGCTTATCCTAAAATTTGTACTTTTTCATACAAATTCAGAAATAATAAACCACAAGTTATAGAAAATGGACCGGTCAAAGAAGTTCCCTCTTCTGACAGTTCCTAATAACGCAGTATTTTCAAAGATGTCTAGATCATGCAAATAGGTAACTTTCAGAAAGTTACTTGTATGTGATCAGTTTATTTTCGAATTAATGGCTTTCTTCCACTCTTTGAAAGCTTTCCACATGTTTTTGTGTAGAAATGGAGAAGTAGATAACAAAAATCTTTCTTTCTCAATAATTCATTTCTTCTACAAACATACATCCCTTTAAATTCAAGAAATATTTGTTTCGTTGTTTGACAATGATTGCGCCAAAGATATAGTATCTTATTGCGCAATATTCAAATTTTAAATTTCATTAGATAGTTACAAGCAACAGAAATTCATTTTTCCGAACTCTTATTACTTATTTCTTATTACTTGTACCTTACTACTTTCTGATATTAATGAAGATGTATCAGCTGTATACATAACGAAGAATGCTTCATCGATCTGTTCCTCAATTTCATTCATATATAATATAATGTCTCTCAAATGAAAAAAAGTACGATTTATGCTGAAACACGAGAAATAAATAAATAAAATAAATTGAAAATTGAATAAAAAATAAGTTGAAATGAATTGAAATAACTCGAATAAAAATGAGTCTACATACCCTGTTCTTCAATTTTCCTGAATATGTACCATTAACATTCACCTTCCCTTGTGTTTGTGAAATCCTTATACTCCGAAACCTCAATAGCTAGTTGTACGTTGAAAGATAACGAATAAAAGAAGGAAATGGAAGAAGAATAACAAATTTTGTGTGAAAGAGACTAAAGTGTCGACAATATTCCCATCAAACAAGGTCAAAATACAGGTTTATTTGTCGAAACTGGATAATGGCCTAGAAACTAGATCCAAAAGCCAATGAGAAGAAGAAATGTCGTTTGTCTTCAATGCTTTGTCGTTGTTTAGTGGAAGCGCAGTTTATAATAGCATTGTGGTGAAAGCTACTTCATTTATCCAGTTTTATTGATTGAATCCATCCAAAATGAGTTACGGTAGGCCTGCACCGCGTATCGAGGGAATGGTATCCCTAAAAGTCGACAATTTAACATACCGTACAACCGTTGAGGATTTGAGAAGAGCATTCGAGAGATGCGGTGAAGTAGGAGACATTTATATTCCACGGGACCGTTTCACGAGAGAAAGCAGAGGGTTCGCTTTCGTTAGGTAAGCGGTTTAGCAACTTGATCGTAGACGGGGCATGTTTGCATACTTTTTTAAAGGTTTTATGACAAGAGGGATGCCGAGGACGCGCTAGACGCCATGGACGGACGCATGATGGATGGCAGGGAACTCAGAGTGCAGATGGCCCGGTATGGAAGGCCTTCCTCCCCTCAAAGGAGGAACCGCGGCAGAAGGAGGTATGTTTTTGCAAAATTTTTCTGTGGGAGGCGAATTTTTACTGGGATGCCGAACAAAAATTTCACTTGAAAATGACAGTGTTCTATATAAGTGAAAATTTACCTTTTTTTATATATTATATTGTGTAGCAATACTGTGAATGATATCTGATTCAATTCCACAACGAAAAAGTGTTTTTTGAATAATTCAATGTTTATATGAACATAGTTGTTTCGAGAGAGCTTTTTTTTGTTCCAGTTTGTATCTAAAGTTATTCTTTGCATGAACTATACATCTTTGTAAAGAGTTTATTGGCCGGGAAAGTAGCTGATTTCCGGCAGGTATTTGAAAGAACTTACGGTGTAGGTAGTTGGGAGAGATGAATATTTCTGAAATTATATAATCGTGAAATGTATTGTGAGGTATATTGTAGTTATAAATACTGCCACCACTTTTAGTATTGCCATCGTTTTTGTCCAAACCACCAATTGTTTGTTTTCTGATGAATATTTTTATCGTTATTCAGATCTAGAGGCAGACGAAGTAGGTCAAGATCACGTACTCGTAGGTCAGTGAGCAGAAGTCGCTCTCGCTCGGATAGCAAGAGCTCCAGAGGGCGGTCCAAGTCGCCTCCATCAAGGAATGGAAAACGCAGGTCCAAGTCGGTTAGCAAATCTCGCTCGAGGTCTAGGTCTTAGGTATATTTTGTTGATAATAAATATTTTAGTGTACTAAGCTCTTGTTTTTTGCAGATACCAGATAGAGTTGCAGGCTGCCATGCAGTTCATTAGGGCCTGCCTCTAAAGGTATTTATTCAAAACCTACCACCTTAGACCTAAAAGTTTGAAAGATCTTTGTTTTAAAATTATATCGTTTTTCATAGATAGGAATAATGTTTGTATATAATTCTGGGATTTTTTGGTTTAACAATTGTTTTTGAAGCAGTTTTGTCCCTGCTCACGTTTTTTAGGTTAGATTGATCTGTACTTTGAACAAAAAAAATTGAATTTTCGAAAATTCATCAAGTGTGTAGTTTCAAGATTATGTTTGCAACTTTTTATTTGATTTGATGTGTTCATTCATACTTGGATGTAAACTGTAGAGATCAAAATGATTAGCATTAGCAAACTTTCACAAAGCGAGTAAACTATTCCTGTTTTCAATTTGAAGTATGTTCAATTCATGATTTTGAAAACAGGCGCAAACACTTTGATGAAAAAATGTTTTGTCTTGTAAGTAATTGAAGGAGCAATAAAAATGTTTCCGTAAGTGTTGAATAGACTGAAGCAAGAATTGATGTTTTGGTAGTAAAAATACTGAGCCTCCTCCATTCGCATAAAGCAACTCCTTGTTCTTTAAAGCATCAATACAAGAAATATTTCAGCGTCGTATCAAACTGTAATAATCACTAATATTAAAGTCGGAGCAGACATGCTTCTTTTCGAAATGAATCCGAGAATCACTCACTAACGAGTTTTATATGCACAGCAGGTGCTGCTGGTTTGCTGTGAGAGAGTGTTGCGGTTTTGCGGGGGTACGAGAGATTGCCCAGTGCTGCTTATGCCGTTCTTGCCGGGCGCAGAAAGCTGCTGCTGTTCTCCCTGCTGAACGGGAATAAGGAGGGAGATAACAGCTGTGAGGTCTAATGGGGGTTTCCAACCAGATAAAATGGGGGGGTTAAGGGAGTAGTATTTCAGTTCAGTTAATTCAGATGATCTCTTACGTTGCTTCTGCCAAAGTAATAGAAAAAACGGGGGGAATGTGGCATTCTTGTTTATCTATGGTCTTTGAGACTTTGTCGATGTGTAACTGAGATATCGCCTAAATTTGGCTCGAAATCTTATTTCGTAAGACCCTTTCAAAGATAAGTTTAACACTTTCTGTGTGTTGATGAAAAAGTCGTCAAAAACTAGTCTCTCCTAAAGAAATATTTGCTTCTATATATTCGAAAAAAAGTAATGTTTGTTCAGAAGAAACACCTTGAACTACTGAAGCTAGTCAATCTATGTTTTACTAGCATTTTAGTCGTAGACTAGGTCTATAACAGATAATTGAGGTGTCTCTTTGTACATTCCTTTCTGTCCGTTGTTCTCGTTAGCTCTTAGACCTTTTTTATGTTTCATGCCACTCTGATACTTTTCTTATTGATCTGTCTCGGTGCATTCTCAGTTCTGCCTCACAATACGTTTTAATATGAAGTCGGGCGCACACTATAGTAATTTTTACATTCACTGCATCAAAACATCTGTTGAAAATCTGTTAAATGTTCGTCTAAGTCGGAGGTCGACATTATTTAACTTGGTGAGGCAACAGATGAAGTGTTATGGTTGTGTCAAAGCAGATACTACAGAATTGGGTGCGAATTTGTTCCTATTTGTAGAATCAAATGACCTGTGTTTTTGAATTTATATCTCTTCCTTTCAACAAAAAATACTCTAAACGCCTGGGACTTGAAGGCCCGCCATTGAATTAATATAGGTAAGGAACAAAAGTGGACCAAGCATAGATCCTTGCGGAACTCCACAAAGTATCCTCTCGGTGGTACTTTGTTGATTTTCTGTGAACGCGTATTGTTTTCTGTTATATAAATAATTTTGAAACTTCCTCTCACCAAAATTGCGTAATTTCTGCAGTAAAGTTTTATAATCAACTGTTTCAAATTAGAAAGAAAGGAAATTGTGAATTATTTGAAATCTGCAGATTCATTAGCGTGTTGCCTACATTCTCTAAATAAACCATCATAGTTATCTGTTGAAACTGCTGTTGTAAAGTATTGCCAAATATATTATCACTGGGAATTTTGTTGGACCTATCTTGAACATGTGACTGTATGAATCGTGAATATTTATCAAGCTGTACAGATATGGAATAAGAGGTAAAGCTTTAGAATGGTTAAAATCTTATTTAAGTGATAGGTAAAAATCGTATCAGCTAAGGCGGATAAGAAAAATAATATAGGCATTACACAGGAAAGCATAACTGGGCCTGTTTTTTGTTTTTTATAAATGATCTTTCGATCAAAACTAATACAGTATCTGCTTTGATGCGTTTGTTTCCTCATCGCCTTTGGGCAGGACTTTAGTATTTGGGATAACGCCCACCAGGGGGAGTGGCATATCAATCGAAAGGGGACGATGAGAGGAACACAATGGTATGGGTTTCATCGCGAGGAAATGACAAAAAATATTTTTTATTCATATTATTCTATTACATATATTTTGGTTTGAACTGACTTTTTATACATTTAATGAGTTCTAAGAAGGGATCCAACTTATTGTGACGGACTTCCCGACGCCAGAGATATTCGCACATGTGCATGACCAGGTCATCACCACTGTAACTACGCTCTTCCAAATCGTGTTTCAACCATTTCCAACTTCCTTCTATTGTCTGAGTGTGTGCACCGGTTTGTTGATCGACGAACCGTCCTTTGCCTTTATTACTGTGGTTAACGGTTTTGTGGACATGTCCTTCATTGGAGAGGGATAGGTAAGGTTTCCACCCGTCGGTGTGAATTTCAGTGCCGGAGCCACGTGCTTCTTGATCAGGTTAGGTTAGTTCATGTCAGAAAATTTTGACATTTTTCAAATTTTTTTCCTCTTATTTCCTCGCGATAAAACCCATACCATTGTGTTCTTCTCATCGTCCCCTTTCGATTGATATGCCACTCCCCCTGGTGGGCGTTATCCCAAATACTAAAGTGCAGCCCGCCTTTGATGCCTACCGCAGTCGTAGACGAAAACTTATTCATAAAAACCTGCAAAACACAGCCATCAAACCAGGATACTAGCTTTGGCATAATTATCTCTTGTCGGGAATGTTTACACTCTTTGATCAAAGCTTGGGTTGTTCACAGTTATAGGAGCCTCTAACACAGATCCTTGTGTTCACTTGACATGTCATTTTTATTCTGATCATCTGATATTAAAAACCTTGAAGGTTTATTTTATGTGGTCACTTGAGATTCATATTGCCACTGTTACTACTACTAGTACGTTATACAGGGATGAAATTCGATTGTTTAGAGTTCTTAACGTCTTTGTATTCCAAAGCTCTGAATTTGAACTTGTTTGTGATCTTCATTATGTTTTTTCTTGACTATTCCAATTCAATATTTGTCTTTCGGGAAATGAATTATTATTATCAAGTAGATAATCTTTCTACATGTAGAATGATGAAAGAAGCATTTTTTTTCAGTATTTTACCATATTTGCTTATTTGTTCAGCTCTTCTCATAATTTTTACTCTTGCTTTTGACAGTTTGGTTTGGGTTTTGTTCCGCCTAAAGAATTTTCATTCTAATTTTTCATGAATCTAAACAAATGGATAGCTTTACATTACTAGTTTAAATTCAAGTGCATAGGAAATGGAGGACATAATAAGGAGAAAGGTATCTATGAAGGTAAGAATCACATTGTCATGAGTTATCAATATTAATTTCAAATCCAGTATTACATTGGTTAGTTAACACCTATAGAATGCTCCAATGCTGCTACGAAAGTAATTCTTTTCTGGAATCTGTATTTTGTCTTTTCCCCATAGGCAGAATATTGGAAAAGAATTATTTTGGTGACATTTGATATGATTTCAGGTACATACTTGCTGCTTAGGTTCTCGTCAGTGTTTTGAAGGATTGTGAATAAACTTATAAAAATATTTCATTGTTTTATTCCTAATATTTAATCATATCAGCAGAAACTTCGAAAGAACTGATCTTTAGAGAATGTATTTAAATTTATGAGAAGTTTTATTCATTGCCTTGAAAACTATTATTGCACTCTCACTATTCCAAACCACAAATCAACATTTGTGTTTGTGACTATTGAATGCAATTTCTGTGTTCAAAGTCGCCGAATGAAACTTTTAGTCTTCAGAACTATTCATTGTGTGTTCGAAACCACCGAATGCATCTTCAGCTATTTCTTGAGAAATCACCAAATGCAGTTTTTGTATTCCAAATCCACCGTCCTAAAAGGAAGACTGATAGATTAATCAACTATGGAATGTTCCTCAAGTTGTTACTCATCGCTTTGGCAATATAAGGAAATAAAGCAGTTATGATTCTTATTATTGATTGATTGAGAGCCCACAGAAGCTTAAGTACGATTTTAGTATATTGTGAAATTTATAGTGCCTACCCTGACTACCAGAGAGGGATGGCAGTACAATGTCGGTATTTTCCACAGAACTAAGTTGTAGTTCTGTGGTATTTTCTCTCTCTCTAGGTTTTTTTGGCCTTTGCTCTGTACGGTGCATTTAACCAATGTCGGTATTTAAATGTAGTTACCCCTACCCTAATCTGTTTGTAACCATATTGAACACCGACATCGTACTGCCATCACTCTCTGGTGGTCAGGGTAGGTACTATAAATTTCATGATACACTAGAATCAAAGATGTATAAGAACGATGATGTTCAAACAGATTCGTATTTGCTTTGTCAAAATCACCCGATACGAGAAACGAGATTCAGCTTTGTACTTGTACACATGTTGATAAATGGATCAAGAATCGTAATTTGTCGCTCCTATTATATTCAAATCTTCAATTTATGGGTCATAATGTGAATAATCTTTCACACAATATCAAATTATTCCTATATGTAAGTAAAATTGAAAATTTAAGTACCAATTTGACGTTGTCAAACAGTGTCACTCCTAAGCGTAGTCAGCACCTCTGTGAATGAATAGGATCTGTTTATTATTGACGTAGTTTGAGAATTTTTGACAAAATATTCTACATACTAAATTAAAGCTGTTCCTGAAGCCTAAGAAAAATACTTTGATGATTTGACTATGAAAGCAGTAGTTGAATACTCAATTGAGAATAAATTCAGTTACTTTAGATGGGATGGTGAGTGGACACCAATGTCACAAAAATTTCCCTTAGTGTTTTGACGGCTGACAATTGTGTTCTATGCATGATCTACACACTACACAACTTGTAAGGTTTATTTCCCACATTTAGTTACTTTAGATGGAGTGGTAGGTCAGAAGTTATTATTCAATATTTATTTGTTCTAATTGTTGTTTTAAAGATGTCTATACACTGGCGGATGCTGGGATTGGCTTTTGTTTCTGAAATTGTAGATAAGATGCTTCAATCATATATTTTAAAAGACAACAGATGGCGCCACTTTTAATACGATAAACACAGTTTATTATATTAGTTTGAGAATGTCCATATAGGACGAAACTACTGTAACGTTAGTTACAATTAAAAGTGGTAAAAAACAGAAATTTTCATTTCTCTTTTCACAAAATTGCAATTGCAAACGGTTCGAACACGAAAGTTGTGTGTGAGAAGAAATCTGTTTTTCCGTTAACCAGCTGTCACACTCCTACGAACGACAACCCTCAGAAGCCGAGACTTATGCGATCTAAGGATTAACGAGGTCTTACCTTTTTAACGTGTGATTCCTAACACGGGTTGGACGATTGCAAGAGAAATGAAACAAAAAATATACACAAATCTTTATCGCAAATCGAAACATTCCACAACAATACAGGTATATAAATTAAGTCACAACTTCTTGCTCTCTCCAACTTACTGTTCAACAACACTTACTCATAACTGTCAGGGTCTGTCAAGACACAACGCAAGTGTTTCGAGGCACACAGCTTTGATTATCAGCTCCTGAGCCAGGAGTGGTGGGGGTACTCGGGAAACGCAGCTTCCGCCCCTTCTTCTGGTTGATGGTGTACCTCCACTGGGTGGACGATGTTGTAAGCGCGTACGACTTGAGGTTAGACTTGACGCACGTCGGTAGGGGTAGCTGCTCTATGCTGTAAACGGTTGTTCGGGCTACAATTGCTCGGCAGCACAGTTCTTGAAGAGTCAGTACTGCAAATATCCAAAAAATTTTTCATGGTCGGATTTAGAAAAGTAGTGGAATAGATGAATGACAAAAATGGATGTATCTCCTAGATTATTATACTTGCGATACCTCCTTGTGAGGTGTGTCTGAAAGAGGAAGGTTCAGACTAGATATACAGTGTGTCAATTTCAAAACTTACAATGGGCTATACCTCACGAACGAAAGCTGATATCGAAAAATGCTTTAAACCGTTTCTAGGATAGTATAGTATATAGTATAGTTTCTAGATAGTATAATGGAAGGTGTGTTTCCAAGTGTCCTAAAAACAGCCAAAGTTATTCCTATCCATAAAAAGGGTTCACATGAAGATATAGATAACTATCGCCAAATATCATTACTGAGTATTCCATCAAAACTTATTGAAAAAATAGTAGCAAATAGAATTATTGCGTTTCTCGAAAAATACAAGATTCTAACCGATCATCAACATGGTTTTAGAAAAGCTAGATCAGTTGAGACTTCTATTGCTAGAAATTTAGAGTATATTTACAATGAAATCGATAAGGGGAAGTACGTAGTTTCAATATTATTTGACTTGGCTAAGGCGTTTAATTCAGTAAATAGTGACATAATAGTTAGTAAGTTATAGAACATAGGCATTAGAGGGTTCCTTCTGGAATGGATAAAATCATTTATGGAAGATAGGAAAATGGTGGTGACTGTGAATAATGCAGTATCTGATATTCAAGACATCATCCTTGGGGTACCACAGGGGTCCATTTTAGACCCACTGCTTTTCTCTATCTACATATATGATCTTCCGAGTATATAAAACAAGGTTTCATTATCCTATTCGCAGATGACACTACCATAACAGTTTCTGGAAATACTGCTGCGGAGGAGCTAGAAAACAACATTAATTCAGTCATGGATGACATGATTTCTTGGCGCGATAGAAATCAACTAATACTGAATGAAAGTAAAACAGTATATTTAAGCTTCGCGTTAGGGAAACAGTGAAATTCAACAACCTCCAACTCTCGGAAACAGCCAAACTCCTTGGTATGTTTATAGATAAAACCTTGTCTTGGGAGCCCCATATCGATCATGTCCGCAAAAAATTTATTCAAGCGTTATTTGCAATACGACAGATTAAAGACGTGCTTAGTTTAGATGGTATCAGGACTGTTTACTATTCATTGGCGTACTCACTCACATTGGCGTGCTCAATATGTATTAATGTGGGGTTCTTCTGTGGGGGCAAAACGTGTTTTTATTGTTCAAAAAAGAATAATTAGAACTATTTTTAATATTGCACCCAGGGATAGCTGTAAACCTACTTTCTGCAAGAACAAGATGCTAACGTTACCTTGTATCTATATATATAAAGCTCTGCTCCATGTGAAAAATAATGTACCCAATCTGAGAGATGACTCAATAGTTCATAAATGTCTATTTCGTGTTGCATATGCAACACGAAATAGACATTTATCAACTATCCCAAAACATAAAACATCGACATTCAAGGAATCACTTGCATATAATGGCATAATATTATTCAATACGTTGCCTCAAGATATTTATCTAGGTGTGATCCTAGACACCACACTTAGCTATAAATCACACATTTCTGCTGTAATTCAAAAATCTATGAAGATTCTTGGCTTTATAAAGAGAACCACTCGTGATTTCACCAACATCACTGCTATTAAATCTCTTTATTTTTCAGAAGAAGCCATTGTATGGCGAAACACGTGTTGCATTTTTGTAAAGCTGTTCAGTGAAAATCACACAAAGTGTTTTTTGAATAATTCTAGAATGTGCTGATTTCCTAATAATTTTAAATAAAACTGAAATTGATCTATAATTTGTCATTTGGTCTTTTCTAATTGCTTTGAATAATGGTTTCATTGAAAAACAAATATTCATTAGTTTACTCATCAGTGAGGCTAATTCTGATTTAACTTTTTTACCATCTCTCGATGCTTGTTCCACTAACAATGTTTAATATTTTGCTGAAATGACTGTCAGTAAATTCAACTCAATGTTTATTGAACAATCCACTGTTATTTCCCCCTAATTCAACGGTAACTATCACAAAACCATTTTGTTCTAAGGATAAGTGTGCAGAATAAGATATTACACCAACTTACCATCATCAGAAAACGACTAAGGCCGCTAAGTGGTAATAATACAAACCTTTATTAGATCTCCACAGCCTTTCCATGCCATTCCTCTGAAGAGCCATCCTGGACAGTTCACAAAAACTCTCGTGTATGTTGAAGTTGCACAGAGGCGATACCTCAAAAAATGCCATGCTGTGCTTGTTAGCATATATTTGTGCGTCCCTCTGTCCGACCTTCCTGTTGAAAGCCAAGTGCAGCCTGTTTCCCACTAGAACTTTCGGCACGCCTGGCGCATGTTCATCTACCTCTTTCAACCACCGGTCCAACCCATCGAATGACCAGGGGTTGGTGATGTCATAGACTAAGAGAACACCTGAAGAAGAATCAGCAATGCTTTATTGTCAAGAATGAAAAATATAGAAATATATATAGGATCTCAATTTATCCTTGCCAAACTATATTAGAGCAATGAAAAAATTGGATGATACCTGAACCAGGCTATCACCAAAATAATTGAAAATAACGAACCTTGTGCACCTCTTGAGTAGCTGCGAATTATAGTACAAAAGCGGCCTTGTCCAGATGTATCCCACAGCTGTAGTTTCACCCGTTTCCCATCCAAGAGAATAGTTGTCGTCTTGTAAGCTGTAAAACGAGCACGTTGTACATTTACTCGAATACAACAGTATCAATTACATACACTTACCACTGTGTCCACAAAACGGACTTTCTGACGAACCATCGTCGAGTTCTGATAAAATTTCTTGCTTTCCGACATCACTATCACCTACCAACAGGAACTTCAAGAGGTAGTCGTATTGCTTCGGGGGCGGCTTACTGATGTCTTCAGTCATGGCACTGACATATTACCAATAAATGTGGTAGTCATAATTTTTCCACAGTCTACAAGCACTTGAACATTATCTTCGATCTCATTTTCACCTGACTATAAATTCAATAAGCTACATCCTACAACGGTATCACATAACTCTTAAAGTAAAAGTACAGCTCTCGTTTTTCCTGGTAAAAATGGTTTATTTTTGCAGAACAAGGTCGTTTTTTTTTTGGTAAATAGACAACGGCCTTGGTACTGTTTCGAAAGGCTTTGTTTCAATAAAGATTTTTTATGGACAGGAAATGGACGAATTTGTAAATTATTTTGTTATCTTTATAAGCATTTTTCGATTTATGAGCTTCTCTTATCGTTTTAACAAGTGAAAATAAATTAACCACAAACGACACAAACACAAAATAATAGATATGACTATGACACAATACACAATCACAATGACACATGACACAATCACAGGTGAAGAGGAAGAGGACTGGACAACCAATTATTTTACTTTTTCGTAGAAAAGATACAAGCTTTCCCGATTTTTTTTAAATAGTTTGTATTTCCTATATTTTATGTTGATCTGAATTGACATTTTCATTTATGATTTCTAAATTTGTTCTTATCATACCAAAATAACTGTTTTCGTTTGCAATCAATCAATTTTTAGGTGAGTGGAGTTAGAGTGATGCAGATTTGTCCAAAGTGAAGGTTTTTCAATCAAACAGTGGAGACTATTTTTATAGTTTTCAACATATTTAGTTACGATTTTCGTTCATCTTCATACTTTTTCAAACTGTCTTTGTTATTTTACCCCTTGTATTTGCAACTAACGTTCCCGCAGTTTCGAACAAATACAATAAAATGTCCCCATAGGTATATATTTCAGCATTCTATTGATAGAGGTGCTGAGTACACCAGAGTACACCCCATGAACCCACTGTGTGAAAATATCTGGTTGGTACTTCAATTTTCAATGTTGTTCAGGAATAAATTGATGTTGGGCGACAATTTTTTTTTACAATATTGAAGAACTGATCAAAATATCCGCGAAAGATTTCGATTCTGACACCATCTATCAACATGTATAAACTTTTTGGGAAAGAAAGTTTTTGGCTTTCTACTACTCCATCTTGATACAAAAAAGGATGAGGGAATCTTCCCTCATCCTAAAAATATAACCCCTTCAATTCAAATGTAAAAGCGAACTGGTAAAAAGGGAGAACACCAAGGTTTCTGTTGATTTGGTGACGGCCTTTTCCGATATAAATGGCTTGTGGCAAACAAAACCAGTCTAAATCTTGCATCTGTTAAAATACAAGTTGTTTTTGACGGTATTGTTGTCTACGAGACGAGGGTAAGAATTTTTATATTATTATTGATAAATCATTATGACTGAAGTCGGTGACGATATGATTAACCATCATTGCTGAAGTTAAGTTTTTGAATGTTTAGGAGACCATCATTAGAGATGCTAGCTTTTGAGAAAATTCATTTCAAATTCAAAGGCAGTGACCCATTTTAAAATTTGTTTTTTTAAGAGAAAAGCGATTAAAGACCTTTTCTGGTGTCTGCTCCTATGACACAACTGATTTGAAAACTTTTTGTTAAATACTTTGGTGTTTTGTGATTTCTGGCATAAATCACGGAACTCCAAGAGGTTTTATTATTTTGAAATTTTTGAATGAAAAACAAAAACCAGAGAGAGGTTAGGTATGTAGTTATGATTGCATTTTGAATTAACGATAAATTTACCAATTTATTTCACAATGGCGATTCGTGAAAGACTAGATGCAACTCTGGAGAGATGCATAAAGTCGATAGATACATGGCAACAATTGATAACAGAGAACTTCGAAGATGAGCAAGAGAAAAACGAGGAGCAAGAGAAACTGAAAAATTGTGTGAAGATGTACTGCGAGGTAGACCAACTCATCAAGAAAACGGACGACGCTTTGGAAAAAGTTGACAATGAACTAAATGAGAAAGAAGCTACTGGTTCCGAAGATATAAATAAGATGTTCCAGGATTTCTTTGAAAATGAACCTACATCATCATCGCAAAACTACGCGAACAGCCGCATCTGGAAGAGCGTTTTTGGACGTATGAGCGACGTAATGGAAGTCAAACAGAAGAAAAAGAAAATTGACGACACTCATTTTGAAGAACTGAGTGATTCCATGATGTGCTCCAATGTTTTCACCCCTCCTATAGACCCGATAACCAAAACGGTTGTGAGAAATCCTTACAAAAACAAAAGGTGCAAACATGTATATGAGCACGGAACCATAGTGGGGTATATAAAGCAGTTGAAAAGCAAAGCGAAATGTCCTTATATTGGATGCAACAACAACCAATTGAGAGTTACAGATTTGGTAGCAGACACTAGTTTGCAATCTCAAATTACAGAGTATTTAGAGACACAAGAGGCAGAAGAATCAGATGATGATGATGAATAGATTTGATATGCGAAGAAGGTATTTGTTTCGTGAAAAAAATACTAAAGTATATTTTCAGTTTTGAAGATCTATTTTTTTTTGTTCATAAAGGTGCATATTTTCTCATGTATTTTTAATAACTATTTAAGTGATATGTTTTTAAAGGTATTGAGCTGTTAAGATGAAATCGAAATGAGACCACTGACATTTTCTATGAGAGATACATACCTATTGATAAAATAGATATTTTGAAATTATATTCAAAATATTCACTTCTCCCAATGTTCTTACACAAAAAAACTGCTGCTGAATAAGTATCGGGTATATTTCAATGCCCATCCGAGTTTTTTTTCATCTTATATAGTAGTATACTTTCAGAGGCATCTAAGATATATGGCTTCAAGAGAATAAATTAACTAATTTCCAAAAATCTTTGTAAACAAATATTTCTGAAAGATTATTGAACAGTTTTCTAAAACTGCTCTCAAGTTCAAAAATCAATTGAGAAAGTTAAAAACATAATTAGATGATTTTCATATGGCCAGAATCATCTAAATAGTTTATATTTTAATTCATTGTTCATATCAATTACTTGTGTTTCCTTGTCCAATATTTCATTATGTTGTCAAATTTGTATCTTTAGTTAATCCCTATTCATAAACATTTACCTATTGTTTCTTCCCATAATATAAACAACACAAAATATTTCTATCCCAGGACAAAGTTGGATTATTGTTCAACTATATAGTGTCCTCATTACCACCTATATTACTAGGATCGAAGAAAAGTTACTTGACGGCGGATATCCACAACAAGATACTAATAGCAAAATTTGGAAGTTTGGAGTTCAGAAGATGCTTAACGTCTATCACATGCTAATCCAGCTAAATTTCAAGGTACCATAATTTGTTAGCGCTCTGTAATTTCTATCTAGCTTTAGTATGTATCACTCTAAATGGTATTGGCTGCAATAAACTACCTGGTGGTAGTGTAGTGTAATATTGTAAATCGTTTCCTCTTATTTGATTCCGGTTCTACAACTTGAGGGTCTACTTGGTTTTATCATAATCGTTAAACCAATATCATATGCCGTGAAACCTACTGTACACATTTTATTACAAAATCACAATAATATGTGAATATTGTGATAGGATTTGTAGCACTCGATTTATTTTGTGATAACTTGAAGTAAACAAAGCATGTGATGATTGTTCTAATATTATCCTCCAATGTAATCATACTGTTGAATTGAGTGTAAATTTTTGAGGAAAATTAAACAGATCATATTAAACATTTTGTAATCTGAAAACAAATACAATAAATGCGTATCAGATGAATCAACAAACAGTTAAACGAATATAACTGGGGTTTTTTCCCAACACCAAATCGTTATTTTTAACACCTCGACACGTGTTTCAATCACTAAGTGATCATCTTCAAAGAGGAATATTAAAACAATTAAAACTAGAAACTAATGCGAGCTAACCCTATTTATGCTATATAGGTATCCCATACAGGTAAACCATCCAGGCGTACCACCCATACAGGTTTACCAACCTAAATTAATTTTATTTTGTCTTATCTATTATTTTTCAATATATGTTTATATAAAAATGAATTTGGATAGGCAATATTGTGAAATTAATTTTATATAGCTGAAAATGTTTTATATAAACATATTAGGTTGGTATACCTGTACGGGAGGTACGCCTGGATGGTTTACCTGTATGGGATACCTATATAGCATAAATAGGGTTAGCTCGCATTAGTTTCTAGTTTTAATCTTCCTCTTTGAAGATGATCACTTGGTGATCGAAACACGTGTCGAGGTGTTGAAAATAACGATTAGGTGTTGGGTAAAAACTCCAGTAATATTCATTACTACACCAAAGGTTCCAAACAGTGCATCATAAAAGCAGTTAAACGTTCAGTAGTACAGACTTCTAGCCAAAAAACTACCATCTTTTCAAGCACTTCGATAACTTTCTCACCGCTAGAAACTTCGACAATCAGGACGAAACAAAAACGGCCTTCGTTGACTTTATCGAATTCCGAGCACACATTTTTCATGCTGATAGAATTATCACGTTGGCACGTTGGCAACAGTGCACTGATTCGAATGGCGCCTATTTCGAATCAATTGAAGTATTCAGAGATATTACAGTTAAAAATACTCATGCATATGGACAAAACTTTTAGAACAACCACTTGAAAAGCTATGCATAGTTCTGAATTATTATACAACTCACTAAACGATACCATTTGAATTTACTAGGGATTGTGAAGGACAAACTTTCACAATGGGGAATGTTCCTCAATTTGGGTTATTACAGCAAATGCAAGTTTGGACAAAATAAGGTTGAGTTTAATTCATGAGTTTTTCAAATTCATTTCGAAAAGTATTCAAATTGATGTTTCAAATGTTGGGTTCAAATTTTTAAAGGGATTTGTTCCTAATTCACATATTGGCAACATCGCCTATATCAGGTTGAAATAATTTTTACGTAGTAAGATATTCTACTTTAAAAAAGGAAAATTATCTATATGAATCAACAATTAAGGCAAAATATAAATTATAGTTCAATACCACCTTCACAAGCCACATAAACAACAGTTGTTTTGTTATTTATTTATATAGAGGAAGATAGGTTAGGTGCACAAAATGTCATATGTCACAGAATGTCTTGGAACTCGAAACATAAGTAAACATAACAGTGCGCCTCTGAAATATGTCATCTTTGTTTGTCTCATACAGGTAACAGATTAATTGTCCTTTATTAACTATAACCGATGTTGCCAAATGGTGAAATAGAAACGAATCCCTTAAAATGTTGAATGCATTATTTCATTCCTCTTTTTTAAGTATTTAAATAATTTTTTAAAGAAAAAGGTTGAAATGACAGGTTTAAAATCTGTTGTTTTAGAGCTCTTTTATGAAAACTACTTGATTTTCGTCAGGAGGAACATTCCCCAATCGACTAGTTGCTTTACAAAGAAATAGAGGATAAATTCAGTTCATCGATGAATGTCAAACTTGTTTTCACAACGGATCAAATTTAGAAAACCCGTTTCCCTTTGATATTCTATCAATCCTTTATATGACGTCTTCTAATGGGAAATGTCATCGCCTTTTCTTTCCCATAATTTCTTCTTTCATGTCAATTCACCTCACATTTCACGCTCACGACCGCAGTTTTTCCTGTTCCACTTGCATGTCAGCGTCACTGTCGTAATCTCAATTGGAATGGATTATGGGACGTTTTGGGCGTTCATGTAAACATCACAAATGGCGAGGTTGAAAAAATGAAGAAGTTTTAATGAGGCTACGTAAACCTGGACAATTGCAACTTCATTTGAATGTCTTATACGGAAATTGGAGAAACTCCAGAAACTAGTTTATCTAGTTAAAATTATAATCGTGAAAACCGAAAACTTTGGCCTTACATTATCGATTATGAGAATGTATTTCATCGTTATTCAGATGAAGAATTCAAAAGTAATTTCAGGCACATGATTATTTATCACATATTGCACTGTAAATTTTGAAAATATCGTGTCTAATTGCACACTTACATTATACTACAAATTTATGCTACTCTTAAATTTACTTCATTATGCGTAAGTAATCATTCCATTAATTACTGTTGAGATTAACCAATGACGTCATGAGTGACGTTTTCGAGGCGACCACAACGACCGCGGTCATTATGTGGAACAGTTATAGGAGCATTTTGATCGTTGTGAGCGCTTAGTGGCACGCACAAGTATTGGTCCATTCGAAACGTTAAGAGTGTTCAATTGGTTGAAGCAATCCATCAGAAATTTTCTGCCGCATAAATATTCGTCTGTTTATTCAGAGAGGTTTGTATTGTAGTCAACGAATAAGTAAATTCGCCGGCAGATGCTCAATAGATATCACTGCGCATCTGGCGCAAAAGAGATTAATGCAGTAATGGTATTCGAGTTGAAGCAGGATAAAGTAATTGTGAGTCTGATGAGGGCAGCCTCCTTTCGAGGTCAATGTTGAACACTTTTAATATTGCCCTTCCCTGGAATAAGATAAATCGAAAACATTATCAAAATTATCTAATTTACTTCCCCAAATCCAAGAAGTATCACTTAAATAATATTTTGTAATGCATTTATAAAAAAAATATCCTTTTGTATTCAAAAAGTTATCACATGACTTTGGCTGAAAGGTTATCATTACACAAAATGAAATTAAACTGGCTTCTCATGCAAGTTTTGGTCTCAAACATATCGAATTGAGCAAGTAATAAAAATATACTTGAAAATGTCGACTGTTTTCAAAGTGGAATTGTGGTAAACGAAAAATTTGAGGTTATTTTTTTATGTTATTAACTAGGTTGTCGCGCCATTATGAAGTAATTTTTCTTCGCACGTTGTGCCTGATTCATTAGCTGAACCGTTTGTAGTGACACCAGAAATAGCGTTTAACGCATTGCCGTTTCCCGTCGACACGATCTTGGATTTCCTGAAACAAAAAAAGATTTAAAAATTCATACGACCAAAAAACAAAATGTACAACTCAAACGCATGTACTTACTTTCCGAATGCTTCTCCTTCTTCTATCGTCTCTGGTAACTTTTTATTTAGAGTCTCTGGTAAAACCAATGACAAGATGCCCCCCATCAATGCCAGACTACCGTATATTAGAAGAGGCAGAGGTTGCCACACATGTGTCTGAAAATTGAACAGATTTCATTAAAATCATATTTCGCACATCAGAAAAAAATACTGTACTTTGCTAACCAAATTAGCATTAGCAGGAGACGACTGGAAATAAATGTTTACGGCTACGTTAATGTTTTATATACATCTAGGCAAATCATAACCTCACATAATGAGTTTCATATTATTAGTAGTTTGTTATTGTTCCTAAATGTTATTTGTTACTTGATTGATACCTCAACTTTAGATGTTTCTACGGATAAATACAAAGGGCTGTTATATATGAGACATTTGTCATCGTTCATCATTTCACATTTTTTCGTGGAATTAGATAACACTCAGATATAAATTCTAATTGACCTTATTATGTGATGCGACCTCATGGTTGCCAACTGCGGTAAAATAATGACATTTGACATCTGCTTATAGATAAATAACCTATCTTTCCGAGTTCCTGCTGCATTTCAATTTTTGGTAAATGAGAAACTGATTTCCAGAATTTGTCCGAAAAGAGATTTCCAGTCGTCCTATATGAAGTTGGGGCTCCAGAATGAAGAATCAGCTATGAAGAAATATAAGATGGACTGTCCCATAATTTATTCATTAGCAAATGTCAAATGTCATTATTTTACCGCAGTTGGCAACCATGAGGTCGCATCACTTAATAAGGTCAATTAAATGGCAATAATTGTGTGCTTAAGGTAATTAACCTATTTGAATTAAAAAGGATGAAACATTAAAAAGGGTATAGTAAACTATCCTCAAAAGATAGACATATGTCATCGCGAAATTTTGTGTAGACCTATAAAAGAAAAATGAAATGTAATGAATTGTTTTGTTATATCTCAAAGGGATTAGGCAGCATTTTTGATGAAAACTAGCAAAGGTAATACCACCTTCCCGACTTCATTATGTATAATATCGTCGTATATCGATCACTCCACCAAAAACGTTAATGAGATATACACTTCTATTACTCCTCTCACTGGTGAGAACCGTTCGTTAGTCGGAGTTTGTTTCATAATATGTAGTGATAGAGGTGTAATTCAAAGTTGAATTGGCAAAATGAGCTCACTGACTATTTTTATTTTCATCATATTCACAGATATTATTCAAACTCACCAGAATGTTCATGTATGGAGCAATGATAGATCCCACGCGAGCGCAAGTAGATCCGGCTCCGATTCCAGCATTTCTTATAACTGTCGGAAACTGTTCGCTGGAAAAAATATAAACTGCTGCGTAACTAGCTGTAATCGCCAGTTTTCCGATCATAGCCAAAGTGACGATGAGCCATTGTTGATCTGAAAAAAGTTTTCTTCAGATCACAGACAAATTTTTCACTTGCATCTCACAACTTTGAAACTGTCAGTTATTTTTGTCTCTGAACTACTCTCCTACCTTTTGGCACAGCCATTGTCAATAGTAAGGCCGTTCCAGCTACGCTCATACATCCGCACATGACGTTTCTTCTGCCCCACCTGTTGAGAGTCAGTAGCAAAAAAGCGTAAGCTGGAATTTCAACAGCTCCGGATATCACGAAATTCAAATAGGGATTCCCGCCCAAATTATTAGTGTTCCACGACAGACCGTAGTAGGTTATGTTATTCGCGAACCTGAAACAAACAAAACATATAACAGCAGAACGACAATGTATAAGTAAAAACCCACCAGTCGAAGAATATGATGAGCGACTTTTTCCTCAAATTGGGATATCTGAACAGATCGAGAACTGTGCCTGTATTCTCGGATTTCTTCGTGTTGATTCCCAGCTCTTCTTCGACCGAAACTAACAACATATCGAGTGTGTCATCTGAAATTGTGACTTTATTACTTTTAGCAGCGATCTGTATGAGTTTTTTGGCTTCCGTCGTTTTGTTTTTGGATAGGAGCCACCTGGCTGACTCTGGTATAAACCTAAAATTTGGCATTCAGTTTGAATATAGTGCGAATAAAATTGAACTCTATTCGAGTAGCTAATGGTAGATCCAAAAAGGTGATGATGACAGAAACGTGGTTCGTTAAAATATGCAACGGTTAATTTTGGCCCCACGTTGGGCGCCTTATTACACTTTTTCGTTATACAATAACTTTTACTCAGAGTATGTTGCAAATTTTCAACGAACGTTTGCTGTGTTACTTTTCAACTTACCACCAGTAGCTCAAGAAGATAACTCCAGGGATTGTCAGAGCAAATTGCAAGTACCGCCAATGGGGTATGTATAGTGCGAAAAGAGCGGTTAACATATATCCTATTGAGAAAAACATGTGACAAATCGTCCCTGCTAGAGGTCTTTTCGATGGACCTACCATTTCCAAACCTAAAACAATATATAAGCTTAGTGAATATTGCTTCATTGAAGTAAATTAACATTGTGATCTGATAAAAAATAACAGTTTTGGTCATGAGAAGCAATTTAAAACTAAAAATATGTAAAATTCTCAAAATTCTTTGAAATTACTCAAGTTTTAATGTGTAAATGTTTGCTGATTCAAATGTGTTGCATAGCTGTGGTCTTTAATTTAGATGATAAATCATTATAATCTGAAAGAAACATATGCACTAACTCTCTTTTCATGAAATTATAATTGAGTGTTATAGGTTAGGTTAAGTGAGATACGTAGTGTATTTGTAGTGTAGTGTATCGTATAGTTAAACACATGTCGCGGTTTTTTAAACTTTCAAGTGGAAATCTCACATTGAAGTGTGTTTTTTGAATACGTTATAATTGATTTTCATCAAGTATCAGTCAGTTCTATCATAGATCTGTATTACTTCAACTTATCTGAAAACAAACTACTATTCTGAAAAAAAAAATATATACATTGGAGAATTGTCACTTACTTCCTTTTAGAACCAATTTCTTTAATATTGCCTTCAAAACCGTCAAACATGCACTCTGTTTAAAATGTAATATATTTTTATATATCGCATAGAGTAAAGACTAGAAAGTTAGCGTACTCAACAATTATTCTAAAACAAAACAGAGAAGAAATCAGGCGTTTATCATTGTTTTTGATACAGAGCAATCAAAACTACCGGAAATACCACTGTTTCTTTCACATTCTTGTATACCTATAACATATGCGACCAGGAACACTCCTGACGTCGTGGCTCCTACGATGAGCCTAGCGAAAGTGAAAGTCCAGAATTCTGGTGCTATAGCGGCGAGTATTCCAAAAACTACTTCCATAACCAAAGATATGAAAAAGATGATTTTCCTTCCAAACCTGTGAACATTCGAAACAAAATATTCCACAAATCAAATTACCGTAAGGACGTTAGACACAGACCTGTCGGACATATCTCCAAAGACGATTGAACCAAGCATAACGCCGACCATGAAGAGAGAATTTGACGTCGCTATCAAATAGGCTTTGGTGCACGTTAATCCAAACTGCGGGAAAAGAACAACTGTGAAACCAGACAAACAAAATAGTTCAAGTCAAGTTATATTTTTGTACAAATCGAATCAATCGTAAAAGCCCCGGTAGTTGTTTTTCTACATCAGCATATATTCATCGAATGTCACACAATACGAACATGAGACATGAGAAATTAATGAAATGTCTTGAAACATTTTCAAGGAGTTCGTAGTGAGCAGGAAAAATACAATCAATTAATCGTCTTTGTACTCACTTCTATAACCGCGGTGTATCCATAGAGAGCATGATCAAATATATGACTCTCACATTTTTCAGATTTATTGTTTACCAATATTTCACACGTAGAATATCTGTTTCGTAAACTATCCCATGGATAATTATCAGCTAACGTTGTTTCATTTAGGCTATATGTTCCATTTTGTGATTCACCTGGTAACGTACACCTGAAAAAAAGTTTCATATAAGCGCAACAACACCACATATTCCTATAATAAAGGTCATCGCATATCATTTTGTTTAGACTTGATTTACTTGTAAAACAAGGCAGTTCTTTCAACAAGCTCGCTAGAGCTTGTAGAAAAGAAGAAACTAGTTTTTTTTACACGGAAGTGATCCATGCTATCCGGTCAAGGCTAAAAGAATTTTTTCCCCAGAGTTTTGCAGCGCCAGCTCACGGTAATGATCTGCCGATTTTGTTATCAGAGCTTCAAAATTAATAAAGAACAGCTGGCTATTTTCTCTCGAAGATGAGGCCGTATTAAGAATTAACAAAAGAAGAATCAGCCGAACCAACTAACCTCACCAACCATGGCAAATTTGTAAACAAATAAAAAGTACTGTTTACATTTTCCATTATAGATAGTTTTAGAAAGATTTTCGGTTGGTTGTGATCCCCGTGCGACGATAGTGATGACACATTTCAATAATTTTACATCGAACGGGAACTGTGGTTTTTTATGTACCTAGTTGAATTCATAGTCAAAATCCACTATGAGTTACTACATAGTCATAAGAGAAAAAAGGGACAATGATTCTCCTGCCTTATCGGAGGTAGTAAGAAATGCGTACTCTTCGAATGTTTACAACTCCTGGTTAAATGCACTCTTTCATGAGGTAAGCATAATACTCCTTGATCTTCCTAATAGATATATTGGTAGCTGATCGCTTTAATCACTTTTGCAAGGATCAAGATCAGTATCAACATGGTTTCTGTAAAAATAAGTCGGCAGGTACAACTCACTACTTATCTAGGAATACCAAAGTTTAGAAAATAAATATCAAATCAATACAATTCACGCAGGTTTCCACAAGGAATATGATAGAGCTTATCATAGTGTACTAGTGAATAAGTTAAAATATTTTGGCATTTTGTGTCAACTATTAGGATTCATTCATAGCTTCCAGATAGGAGTGAGTTGAAAATCAGAAATAATTTTTACATTGCGGGTCCTTCAAGGATCTCACTGTGCTCCTTTTCTTTTGCCAAATCTTTCAAAAACAGTAAATGTTTGTCATTTGGAAATATGTACGTTTATATTTATTCATTTTTACAAAATCTATTTTGTATTATTATTTATACAATTTTATTCCTTTGATTTTTTATACTTTATACAGGTTTCACCTGTAATTTGATAAATGAAATAAACAAATTGAAACTGGACTGTTCTTTCAGATTACATTCCAGCTGATGATTCTAGTTTCTGCGCTGCTCTTCATCTGTTTCGGAATACCTCTCGTGTACTGCTTTGTGTCCATTCCTGCAGTGTTGATAAGTCTGTACGTAATGATCTACGGAACAGTGAGTATGAAGGCCGCTCAAGTACTGTACGACAAAAAACCTTTAGCGTGCTGGGTAGCCGAAGCCTACCAACCGTACTTTTTTATAAAAAACCCAGGCAACTGCTGGTACAAGATCGTTACGGAGGAGGATATCGAAAGGGAGGGTATCAAGAAAGAAGGGTTCCAGAGGAAGGTAAAATACAGGATAGTTACAGGGTATAAACGATAATGGTTTACCGGACAAAGGTGGAGAGATATGTTTTCAGTTCAGCAGTATTTTAGCCAGTTTAAAAGTCAAGTTCAAAATGAATTTACTTGCACGAATGTACTTTGCCAAAATAGAAATCGAATCAGATTAACGCATCCCAGATCAAATGGGCAAATTGACCAATAGAAAACATTTTAAAATACCTGAAAGCAACAAACTTATAGCATGAAATATAGAACGCATTTCATAACAAAAACTGCAAGACTGGACTACATCATCATTTATGTTATTATAGAGAAATCATTTTGCAACATATAATATATAATAATACAGGGTGGGCCATTGAAAATTTGACATGGAGGTTTTGGGTAATAATCTTGCAAATCCGAAAATACGCGCAGACAGGTCGATTTTTATTGGGAGGGAGACAGTTTTTTTCCCCATTTACAGCGTCGTCACTTCAACCCCAGAGCAGAGGAATTTTAATAGGGAATATGGGGCGAGTCGCACATCGTTTGAAAGATCGTGTAATTCTCTAAACCAGTGGTCGCCAACCTCTTCAATGTGTTGAGATACTTTGTTAATTTTGGAATAAACAGCGAGCTACCCACACGGAAGCCATGTAACGCAACGTAAATGAAATAATCCACAGTTAATTTATCATTATATGTATTTATTTTACTATTTAACTGGTAATACATAATTCATAGGTACTAATAATAAACTAATAACAAAATAACTAATATTACCATTACGTACTTGTTCATAGCTACATTCCTACCTATCAATCGAAGCTGTTTGAAAAATAAACACAAACTTTTATCCAGCCACAACGGCATGTCACAACAAAAAAGTAACGCACTATCATGAACATTAATATTGAAAAATAAAAAAGCATGTTCAATGAGAAGGCTGACACTTAGACTCATCGATAATTTTTTTAATGTTTGCAGTATAATTTGATGCAGCCATTCGAATATAATTATCCAAATGTTCATCTGTAAGTCGATTGCGATATTTGTTCTTATTAAACTTCATATTGGAAAAAGAAGATTCACACAAATAGGTTGAACTGAATAATGCTTTCACTTTCAAGGCAACACGGCATAGAACTGAATATTTGTCTTTACTTACAATAGGCCAGATACATTCAGTACTTGAGACTAACGATTTTAAGGCTAAATCATTTTGAAACTCAATGACTTCCATTTCTGTTGCAGCGATGTCTTCGCCAAAGTTCTGCATAACACAAGTTCCAAACTGTTGGATATCAATTTCCATAAAGGGTGAAACAACAAACTGCGCTACTAAAGCCATTTCATTGAAATCCTTAAAACGATTTTTGAAGTTATTCTTCAGGGTTGAAATTATTTCTACATGATATTTGTTGTCATAAGGTTCTAATGGATTTTGAGATATTTTTTCTGAAAGAATAGGAAAATGCTTGGCATCGCTGTTAATTAGGTTTTGCCAGCAACCAATCGACTATATCGTCAGATTTTTTAATTTCGTCCAACTTATCCATAATGAATGAAAAAAAAAAACTTACAGAAAAGTGAGAACCTGAAAACACATTGAAATTGAAAGAAAACACTTTAAAAACACATTAAAAATATTACTAAAGAGCAGTGCTATAATACAACTGCCTGTTTTATACACAAATAACAAATATTATCAAGAAACACTAAAACGATTCACCGAAATATTTTTCAGTCCCGGTCCGTCACGGCATCCCGTCCGAATAATTAAATAAAAGACAAACGTAGCCGTACACTAAAGGAGACCAACTGGAGGCTAGCCTCCTCTAACGCTATAATTTCTGCAACTATAATCATAAATCGGGACGTATGTCGCTGGTTGGATCAGTCTCGCGGAGCTTGTGTTTTTTATAGCGGTCGGAGGCTTGGCTCCCTTGCAACGTATGACATTTATTATTTTGGGTCGATGGTTTATTCATTATTCGTTCATGGGGGTGCGTTTGAGGTTTGTTGATGCAGGGTACAGTGTGGTACGTACTACATAGTGAGTGATAGTGTTTTTTCGGGCATATTATGTGTTTATATTAAAAAATTAATGGTAAAGTAATGATACCCAAGCATTTTTAGAAAAAAATAATCATAATTATTTATCAATATCTTTTAATTTATTGCGATGAATAGCCTTAAATTTTATGGGGAGGCTAGGCCTCCCTTGCCTTCTCTGAATAGCCGCCGCTGATGTATGCTGACGATACCTCCCTCTCTTTTAAAAATGATAAAACTGAACAATTCAATATAAAAACAACGAAAAAAGTTCTTGTGATGTGGAGGAATCTTGAAAACTGCAGTAGGTATTTCTTAACCCGCTCCTGTCGTTTTGTTATCATTTATTGAAGACTGAACATCCATATTTACAAAACATGAAACAAAAACAAGAATAGTTGATAACGCGTAACTCATTTACCATCGATCATAGTGTCTCAGAAACAATGCACGCCATTACAACGATATTGCTTTTAGCACTCAACACCATCTGTAGCTCCTCGGAAGAATTACAATTTTTCAACTACATCACGATAAAAATCTATCGGGGCGATGAACCAATAACTCTCCTGCTTCAAGAAACAGTCAACACCGAACCAGAGGTCACGGAGGTCATAATAGAAAACGAGCCGATAAGAGTTTTGAAAGCGGGATCTTTCTATAACCTAACCAAGCTGAAGTATATCCATATCCAGAGAAGCGAGTTGGAAATACTAGAAAGCTTCTCGTTCCAGAACCTCCCCAGTCTCAGGACTATTGATTTGAGCTTCAATCGGGTAAAAGAAGTGCCCGCTAACGTATTCGCCAACTTGACTGTGACGAAAATAACCCTCAAAGGCAACCGCATCGAGACGTTCCAGGATTTGGCGTTTTATAACCTCACCTACTTACGTACACTCGATTTGAGCTCGAACAACATGCTAGAGATGCCGATGGAGATGTTTTACCTCACGAAGAACCTGCGCTTTCTTGATTTGAGCTACAATCGACTGAATCAGGTACCGAAAGTACGCGAGAGGATGCCTTACAGTTACTTCGACGAGGCGTTCTACAATATCGACGAGTTTGAACCGTCCCGTATCGATCTGAGCTTCAACAACTTCACCTACATCACCATGGACATTTTTCGGATGCTGACCTGCTTAGGGGAGTTGAAGCTGAACTACAACAACATCAGGAGAATAGACGAGAGGGCTTTTGACGATTTGCGATGCTTGAAGAGTTTGGATTTGGAGGGGAACGATTTGCGGGAGATCAGCGATAGGTTGCTGAAGGTGTTCGCCATGGCCGAAACGTTGAATCTGGCCAACAACCCGTGGACAAATAATTTTGCGTGTAAGTACGAGATGTGGTGCCAAACTCATGGAAAGATTAATACTATGGACGTCGAGTGTAATTATAGTCGCAGCGTTGTGGATTTGGATGCGTCAATAATAAAAAATTCTACATTTATGGTCTGACCAGATAATTCATTCTTGTCTAGTTTTAACTATCTGAAAGGATCGGATGAAATCAATTCATTAACTAGTTGAGGCAGGCGAATACTAGTAAAAACACTTATTCAATAGTATAAGTTTTGTGAAAAAGAAATCAATAAAATGATGAATATTACATATTTATTATTCTAGGGCGAAAAATCATGATTATCTGGTAAGAGCATGTAAAGTAACAGAGATATTATTACTAGTTGGGAATTTTGTACTTACTTATTGATTTCCATAGTTTCCAGAAGGTCCAGTTGTAAACCTTCCTTCTGGAAATGAAGATTTTTGAATTCATGATTGAGCTCATGTCCCTCTGTGAGGAGGTAAGTAGCACACCTTTCATTTTTCCATTCTGGATACTTACTGTGTTCTTTTATGCGCGTTCTAAAAGTTCTTTCAGTTTGACCTACGTCAATTGTATAGCGAAATGAGTGATGGTTTGAAACGCATTGGAAAGTTTAAATAGCTCGAAAAGTGGGCGCCCCACGATTTGAAACGTCTACAGAAAATGTCACGTTTCGAGGTCTGTTCGTTCATCAATTTGGTAGCCGCATAGTTTCACATTTCGGACCCGTGAATTGGCCTCAAAGATCGTGCGATTTAATGCCGCTGAACTATTTTCCGTGAGGATATGTGAGCTCGCTAGTCGACCCGAAACGATTGACTCCTTGAAGGACAACATTCGCCGAATTTCGTGAAGGTCGTCAAAAATCAGGTGTTGTTTCGAAAACCATTGATGCCGTGCACGAACTGATATTGCAAGATCGTCATGTGACCTATCGTGAGATTGAGACAACCTTAGGCATTAGTGGTACCAGCATACATTCAAAATTGCATAAATATTCGACTGTCAAAAAAACTTGTTCGCGTTGGATCCCACACAATTTGTCAATTGCTCAAAAAAAGGCTCGTGTCGATTGGTCGAAGGAAATGCTCAAAAAATACGATCGCGGTGCTTCGAAACACGTCTATGACATCCTGACAGGTGATGCATCTTGGATTTATGCCTATGAGCCCGAAAGTAAGCAGCAGTCGACTGTATGGGTGTTTCAAGAAGAGCCAAATCCAACAAAAGTTAGATCAACAAACAAATGGCCTGTTTTTTCAGAGAAACTGGATATGTCACAACCGTACCACTAGAACAACGCAGAACAGTCAATTCTGAGTGGTACACAACCATTTGTTTGCCAGTTCCAGAAATCAGGGAAAGCAACCGCTGAAGACGGATCATTCTTCACCACGACAATGCGAGCTCTCACACATCGGCTCAAACAACTGCATTTTTGAGCACCCAAAACATCATTTTGATGAGTCATCCGTCATATAGTCCTGACTTGGCACCGAATTACTTTTTTTATTCCCGCAAGTAAAAAATAAACTGAGAGGTCAACGTTTTTCGACACCTGAAGAAGCAGTTGCTGCTTTCAGAATGCATGTTTTGGAGATACCTCAATCAGAGTGGCAAAAGTGCTTCGAAAATTGGTTTAAACGCATGCAAAAGTGTATAGATCTTCCTGGGAAATATTTTGAAAAACAATGAAGTGATTTTCGATGATTAATATTTGTTTTTGTTCTCTAATCCCGAAATATAAAAGGCAACCATCGTATAATCAGCTATAATAAGATATTGTCTATTCGGGAAGTTCATCAAGCACACATCTGCATATTACTTTTGTTTTCCAAACATGCATTGTTACTATAAATCAGCATTACACTCGAAACTATGACCCGGAAGCTAAATCCGGCCCATACAACAAATATTTACGTATTCCAATGACGATCTCTTTTATAAAAGACCACCAAACCATAACGAAAACATCAGATAACCCGCTGGAGTCCGCAGGATTCGGCATTTTTATGCGGCATTTCAAACACGATGCACATCCTCATACAATTGTCGTTCTTCGTATTCGGTTTCAGTTGCGTCTTAGCAAACGAATCCCAATTCTTCAACTACATCACTATAAAAATCTATCGGGGCGATGTACCGATCACTCTCCTGCGACAAGAAACAGTCAACACCGAACCAGAGGTCACGGAGGTCATAATAGAAAACGAGCCGATAAGAGTCTTGAAGACGGGAACTTTCCGCAATCTGGCCAAGCTGAAGTACATACGCATCCGAAGTAGCGCCTTGGAAAGACTGGAGAGCTTCGCCTTCCAGAACGTCACGAGACTCAGGACTATCGATTTAAGCTTCAATAGGATCAAGGAAGTGCCTATAAATGTGTTCGCTAACTTAACGGTGTCTAAACTCGTCCTCAAAGGCAACGGCATCGACACTATAAGCATCTCGGCGTTTTATAACCTCACTTACTTGCGTACGCTCGATTTGAGCTCCAACAACATCATGGAGATGCCAATGCTGATGTTCGATCTCACCAGGAACCTGCGAGTTATAGATCTGAGCTTCAACCGTCTGAATCAGTATCCATCCGTTGCCAAAAGGACTCCCTACAGCTACTTCGAGGAACCGTTTTACAACATCAACGAATTCGAGCCTTCCACTATCGATCTGAGCTTCAACAACTTCTCCTACATACCTAGTTATATGTTCCGGGGACTATCCTGCATCGGGGAGCTGAAGCTGAACAACAACAACGTCAGGAAAATCGATGAAAGGGCTTTCGAAGATTTGCGATGCTTGAAGAGTTTGGATTTGGAGGGAAACGATTTGCAGGAGATCAGCGATAGGTTGCTGAAGGTGTTCGCCATGGCCGAAACGTTGAATCTGGCGAACAATCCGTGGACCAACACTTTCGCTTGTAAGTACGAATTGTGGTGCGAAAGTAACGGACGAGATAATACCATGGATGTCAATTGTAGTTACTATAATGATAATAATGACGTTGTTATTTCAGATGGGTCTCAATAAAAAGTAATTACTGTTTCAGCGTCAATATTTGTTCTTGCCGAAAATTTAGACCAGCATTTATGATTCACGTTTTATCTAATTTAAATATTAGTCTGGTCCGCTTTATTAATGAAAGTAATGACAAACTTGAACTCAAAATAATAGAATAATAGCTAGATAGATAGATAGATAGATATTTATTGATCATACATAGGAAATGCTATTATTACAGAGTATTTATGAAATAAGTATTAAAAATAATGGAATATACAGGGGTGCGCAAAAGTCCGGAATGAAATTAATATCTTTGTAATCAGTATCTTAGGAAAAAAACGCTGAAACACGTCAGTTGATTTCACGTTGTACGCATTTTTTGGCGATAAAATTAAATTTTTTTTTCAACCCCTTAGCTGCAACCCTCCCCAACTTTTTTTTTCAATTGCAAATGTATGTCGTGTATGGGCTCATTGAAAAGATAGTAAAAAATGGATTCTGACCATACCCTTTATTTTTTTTGTGGTTACAACTAAATGAGAAAAAAATCTTTTGAAAAGTCACAAATACCTAACTTAGTGCTATCTACGGGTGAAATAACGTAACAGATGCTGAAATTGGCCTCCACCCTCTACTTGGCAGGCTCCTAGGCGGTGGTAAAACCCGTCTACGGAATTCCGAATGGCGTCAGCCGGTATGTTATGTGATTCCACTCTAATTCTGCTTTTTGGATCGTCTAGCCGGCCTATTTTGATAAACCTTATCTTTCATATATCCCCAATAAAACTAATCAAATGGCGTTAAGTCTGGGGATTTTGGCGGCCATTCAATTGTACCACGTCGTCCAATCCAGCGTCCTGCAAATATGTCATCGAGATATTCTTTGACATTGATACCAAAATGTGGGGGAGCGCCGTCCTGTTGGAACCAAAGTGTTTCAGTGGGGATATCTGGATCTGCTTCATTGGGAAACATAACAGCTAAAGCAGGGTCTAATTCAAAGCGTAAAAAGTCTAAGTAGTGTGCAGCTGTAAGGTTTCCCTCAAAAAAGTATGGCCCTAATATTCTGTTGTTGATGTTGCATGCCAATACATTTACTTTCTGAGAACGCTACGTGCGAGCTTCGCATATCCAGTGTGGGTTTTCCTGACTCCAGAATCGATAGTTGTGCCTGTTAACTACTCCATGTAAATAAAAAGTAGCTTCGTCCAAAAAGAGTATGTTGAGTGGAAACCCATCATTCTTGTCACATCGCCTCATTATTTTCTCAAAAAATTGCAAACTTCTGTCATAGTTATCTTCCAAGACTCTTGGACAAGACATACCTTATATGGGTGGTATTTTTCTGTTTTCAAAAACCTCCCAATCGTACGTCTAGACGCAAGATTGTTTTGGGCTAATGAAACCGTTGACAAATGTGGATCTTCCTGCAGAGATACGGCAATGTCCAATTTTTGATCTTCGTCTAAAACATGTGGCCGGCCAATTTTGAGCAAGTCCTTCACTGTACCATGTTCTTCAAATTTGTGTAAGATCTTACTCACAGTAGCCTGGGAAATGTGATTTTCCGGATATTTTGCATTAAATAAAGTGCACACCTCACTTTGACTCCGCATTCATCCCCACATTCCAACAATATCAAGACTTCGATACGCTGCCTCTCTGACAATACCATTTTTGTTTAGCAAATTAAAAAAGAACACTTTGAAGGTACCCAATTAATAAACCAAACATACAATTTTCAATTTCGCCCAGAAATGCCACAATTTAAAAACCGAGTCAAGACAATAGTTCTTGTCAGGGCATTCATTTTGGTACAAAAAATGCAACAACCTTTTTCTCTTTTTGAGGTACACTGGTCAACAATTGCTTGGGATGGAACTAGTTTTTGGTGAAAAAATAAAATCCACAGAATGTTGATGCTACAATTACGTTATCAGTTTTACACATATATCAATAAAATTTATTGTGGTGCCTGGCCCGGTTGGTCTGTTCTTAAAATTTGTAAACTTCTAGAAAGTAGGTACTGGTGATCCTTAGCAATTGTTGAGCAATGTACATCATCTCCACTTATTTGTTTTTTGCAACGTTAATTCACCCGTAGATAGCACCAAGTAGGTATTTCTAACTTTTTTGGTTTTAAAAGAGTTTTTTCTCATTTCGTGGTAACCGCATGAGTTAAAAAAAAATAAAGGGTATGGTCAGATTCAATTTTTTACGAGCTTTTCAATGAGCCCATACACGACATAGGTTTGCATTTGAAAAAAAAAAGTTGGGGAGGGTTGCAGCTAAGGGGTTGAAAAAAAATATTTCATTCCATTCAACAACACACATGCAGATAATAAAATTGTTTTATCAGAATGGGTATTCTGTTCGGGCAACATACCGCGCGCTTCGCCCATTTTACAGTCGCCATAATCGTCCCACCAAGAGGACTAATCGCAAGGTGAGACGAAACGCAAGATCTGCCGAAAACATAACCACTGTTTGTGAGAGTGTGCAGGGAGAATTCGAGGCAGTCGATTTCGCGTCGGACACAAGACCGCAGAAGATAACCTGGCGAATTTTGGGTCGTGATTTGGGCTTGCACCCTTACAACATTCAGCTGATCCAGAAACCATAAACCACCATAAACAACGACGTGTGTTAGCTGAATGGGCTCTGGAGCAGTTGGTAACTGACCCTAATTTTTATCGAAAAATCATCTTCAGCGATGCGGTCCATTTCTGGAAGAATGGGTACGTGAACAAACGAAATTGTCGGATTTGGGACGATACCAAAGCGTCCACTGTTTGGTGTGGATTTTGGGCTGGCGACGTCATTGGTCTATATTTCTTTGAGAACGACATTGGCTAGGCTATTACTGTGAACGACGAGCACTATATATAGGTCAATAATTATCAACTTCTTTTGGCCTGAATTGGATGATCTGGCCACCAACGATATGTGGTTTCAACAGGACAGCGTTATGTGCCACACAGCTCATGCCACATTGGATATTCTGTACGATTCGACCCCGTTAGACTTTTTTTCGTGGGGTTTTCTCAAGTCGCAGGTGTATGCGAAAAAGCCACAAATCACAGCGGTCCTTGAAGCCAACATAACCTATACCATTGGTCAAATTCAACCTGATTTATGCGCCAGAGTCATGAAAAATTGGATGTTTCGGATGCATTCCATCCAGAGAAGCCGTGGCAGATTTTTGAATACCGATATATAAGGCCGGCTTCTCGTCCCAAGAGGGCAGTTGAGTTCAGACAGTGAATCGAGCGGTTAAACAAGGAATTCAAATAATGGAAATAAATTGTGCGTTAGTTGCTAAGTGTTGTAAATAAAATAGTTTGTGATAGTGAAATATTTTTTGGAAATGAATTTATTTAAGACAGTAAACTCGTTAATTTGTCACACTGCATAAAATTTTTGTCTCCCAGAAAAAGGTTATGCTCAAATTAGATTACCGAGAGCCTTGAAAAAACATTTCATTGAAAATGGATTTACGTGTGTACTATGTATATATATTTACAAGTGCATACTATCCACAGGATCACTACTGAAACTCAAAAATTCATTCGTACCCAACGACAAATGTTGATTTGATAAGGCTTCAAAAACACTCCGCCTTGCTTTATGAAAATTGTCCGTCTTTTGCAGATGCAATTTTTTTTAATAATCTTCCTCTAATGATACAAAGTGATTTTCAATCAAACTGAAAGACTTTTTAACTAACAGTTGTTTTTACAGTTCACATGCCAATAAAATTATATATGTGTTGTAAATAAATTAGTTTGTAATAGTGAAATATTGTTAGAATGAAGACAGTTGATTTTTTAATTTGTTACAATATCCTACACACACCTTTCTTTGTTTTATTTGAAATTGAAGATAGGAAATGCTTAATGAAAGACATTCATGAAGGATGAGATGAATCTTTAGGGCAGAAAGTCAATGAGAGTCCAAAATTTCAATTAATACATTGAATATAGGGAGGTTAAAGTGCAAGATAAAATAGATAGGTGACTTCATAGAAAAAAATAAAAATAAATTCATTTTACTCTCTTAAGTACATTCTACCCTAAAACCAACTTCTAGCAATCGGTTCCTGCAAACATAATTATTAAATATTAATAACTTGAATTGGAAGGGTTATATTTTTAGGAGTGATTACAGAAGATAGGGCAAGTGTCTTAAGGCGAAACATCGGTGTATATCAGTGAGGGTGACAGTGTTCTATGTGAGTACAATTTATTACCATTCATTCAAAGTAGAACTCATGTGAATGATATCTGATTCTTATTCCACAACGAATGTTTGATATACAAACCGAGTAAAGGAAAGTATCTTCTGTATAATTCAGTGATCATATAGAAGTATTTGTTTCGAAAGAATTTTTTCTTTCGTGTAATTCAATGTTTATATGAAAGTAGCTGTTTCAGGAGGACTCTCTTTCAGTTTGTGTCTGAAAGTTACTTTTTTGCATGATCTACACATCCATGTATAGAGTTACTTATTTTCAAATTGATTACTTCCTTCCTTTCTTTGGAAGATTCTCTCATCCTTTTTTTTATTAGATGGAGTAGTAGAAAGCCAAAAACTTTCTTTCCCAAAAATTAATAACATCTGAAGGAAATTTTGCACCTATGCTCTTAAGCATAAAATAAATAAATAATTTTAGAAAATGTCCAATCGTTAAAACCAGATATATTAAATGTACTGCATCGAATACTATAATGATCGTCATTCATCTTACATTTTCCCAGAATTTTGACTGAATGGGATTGTGCGAAAGATCTAGTGAGTGTTCACATTCTTAGAAGTGCTCGCATATTTTGTAAGGTCAAATTTTCATTCGGACGAAGAACCGCGTGAATTATGTTCTTTAATCGATTGCGAGTGAATGAATCATGTTATAGGAAATGATGTAAACGGTTCAGGTAATTATTCAGAAGAGCAGGTACGTGGAACTGGACTTCCTAAGTCAAATTAGAAACTTTTTTTATAAACTATACCGGACGATTTGATCTTCACAAACTTTGTTTTCTAAAATATATCATT